CTCCTGCCTCAGCTTCCCGAGTAGCTGGGTTTACAGGCTTGTGCCACCACACGCTGCTGATTTTTTTATTTTTAGTAGAGAGAGGATTTCACTATGTTGGCCAGGCTAGTCTTGAACTCTTGACCTTGTGATCCATCTGCCTTGGCCTCCTGAAGTGCTGGGATTACAGGCATGAACCACCACACCCAGCCAGAATTTTTAGTTTAAATACAGTTTTATTCAAATAACCAATGTCTTTTAACTATTGAAAAAGGAAATAAAAGAAAAAATACTTTTTGATAAAGTTCTCTTTAAAATTGATTTTAAAGTCTTGAAATTTGGGTTATTTTATATTGCACAGTATAATTTGAAAATTATTTTAGTTAAACAATACATGCAAAACAAAACATCTTTACTCACTAATAAAAGGCTCATTAATGAATCAATAGATATGGAAAATGAACTATGAAAGGAGAATGGGGATTGCTAAATGTCAAACAATTTTATAAAAATACATTAATTCTGAGGCAAAGTGTCCTTAATAAATATATATTTATATATTACATATAAAATTAAAATAATAGATATTATAGACATATATATAATGTGTCATATATAAAATATATGTAAAACCTATTGTATTAATTGTTCAAGATAGCTATTTGAAGTTGAGTTTAGAAAGACCAGTGACAGGCCCGGCGCAGTGGCTCATGCCTGTGATCCCAGCACTTTGGAAGGCCGAGGCGGGTGGAACACAAGATCAGGAGTTCCAGACCAGCCTGGCCAAGATGGTGAAACCCCACCTCTACTAAAAATACAAAAATTAGCCGGGCATGGTGGCAGGAGCCTGTAATCTTAGCTACTCGGGAGGCTGAGGCAGAGAATTGCTTGAACTTGGGAGGTGGAGGTTGCAGTGAGCCGAGATTACACCACTGCACTCCAGCCCTGAGCCACAGAGTGAGACTCTGTATCAAAAAAAAAAAAAAAAAGGGAAAAAGAAAGACCAGTGACATTTACTTTATGTTGTTAGTTAAGGTGTAATATGTGTTAATAAATTACAGAAGTTATTATTCTGAAAAATTTATACCCAACTCTTAAAAACAACAATATGATCATTCATATAAAAGTACAAACTAAAGAAAAAATTTCAAAGAAATACATACACCCCAAACCTAGGCTTTCCATTGTACTTAAGACAATAATCTGTTGATAGTTGCTTTTGCTGTGCAGAAGCTCTTTAATCAGGTCCCATTTGTCAATTTTTGTTTTTGATGCAATTACTTTTGGCATCTTCATCATGAAATCTTTGTCAGGTCCTATGTCCAGAATGGTATTTCCTAGATTGTCTTTCAGGGTTTTTATAGTTTCAGGTTTCATATTTAAGTCTTTAGTTTGTCTTGGGTTGACTTTTGGACTTTTGTATATGGTTTAAGGAAGGCATCCAGTTTCAATCTTCTGCATATGGCTAGCCAGTTATCCTGGCACTATTTATTGAATAGGGAAAGGACTCCCTATTCAATAGGGAGTTCAATGTCAAAGACATTGGCCTGAAGTTTCAGTATTTTGTTGTGCCTCTGCCACATTTGGGTATCAGGATGATGCTGGCCTCATAGAATGAATTAGAGAGGAGTCCCTCCTTCTCAATTTTTTGGAATCGTTTCACTAGGAATGGAACTAGCTCATCTTTATACATCTGGTAGAATTTAGCTGTGAATCTGTCTGATCCCAGGCATTTTCTGATTGGTAGGCTTTTTATTACTGATTCAATTTTGGAATTTGTTATTGATCAATTCAGAGATTCGATTTTTTCCTGGCTCGATCTTGAAGGGCTGTATGTTTTCAGGAACTTGTCCATTTCTTCTGGGTTTTCTAGTTTGTTTGCATAGAATAGACAACCTACAGAATGGCAGAAAATATTTGCAAACTATGCCTCCAGTAAACGTCTAGGCTAGGCATTGTGGCTCACGCCTGTAATCGCAATACTACGGGAGGCTGAGGAGGGTGGATCACTTGAGGCCAGGAATTCAAGACCAGGCTGATTCAATTTTGGATTTTTTTATTGATCTATTCAGAGGTTCAATTTCTTCTTGGTTCAATCTTTAAGGATTTTATGTTTTCAGGAATTTATCCTCCTTCTGGGTTTTCCAGTTTGTTTGCATAGAATAGACAACCTACAGAATGGCAGAAAATACTTGCAAACTATGCCTCCAATAATGGTCTTGGCTGGGTGTGTGGCTCATGCCTGTAATCCTAGAACTTTGGTAGGCTGAGGAGGGTGGATCACTTGAGGCCAGGAATTCAAGACTAGCCCAGCTAACATGGCAAAACCCCATCTTTACTAAAAATACAAAAATTAGCCAAGTGTGGTGGTGCACACCTGTAATCCTAGCTACTTGGGTGGCTGAGGCACGAGAATTGCTTGAACCCAGGAGGAAGAGGTTTCAGTGAGACAAGATCGTGCCACTGTACCCAGCTTGGGCAACAGAGCAAGGCTCTGTCTCAAGTAAGTAAGTAAATAAGTAAATAAATAAAGATCTAATATCCAGAATCTATAAAAAACTTAAACAAATTAACAAATGGAAAACAACCCCATTAAACAGTGAGCAAATGACATGAATAGACCTTTTCAAAAGAAAACATGCACGTGGCCAAGAAGTATACGAAAAAATGCTTGACATCACTAATCACTAAAAAAATGAAACTCAAAACCACAATGAGATACCATCTCACACCAGTCAGAATGGTTATTATTAAGAAGTTAAAAAATAACAGATGCTGGCAAGGTTGTGGAGAAAAGGGAACACTTATACATTGCTGGTGGGGATGTAAATTATTATAGTTCCACCATTGTGGAAAGCAGTCTGGAGGTTTCTCAAAGAACTTAAAACAATTTTACCATTCAACCCAGCAATCCCATTATTGGGTATGTACCCAAAGGAATAGAAACTGTTCTGTTTTAAAGACGTGTACATGTATGTTCATAGCAGCACTATTCAGAATAGCAAAGACATGTAATCAACCTAAATGCCCATCAGTGGTAGACTGGATAAAGCAAATGTTTTACATACACACCGTGGAATACTACACAACCATAGAAGAGAATGAGAGTATGTCCTTTTCAGCAACATGGAGGAAGCTGGAGGCCATTGTCCTAAGCAAACTAACATAGGAACAGAAAACCTAATAATGCATGTTCTCACACGTGGGAGCTAAACACTGAGTGCATAGGGACACATGTGGACTTGAGAATGAAGGGCCGGAGGAGGCATAGGATTGAAAAACTACTTATTGAGTAGTATATTTATTACCTGGGTGACAAAATAATGTATACACCAAATCCCCGTGATACAAATTTTCTATATAACAAACCTGAACATGTATCCCTGAATCTAAAACAAAAATTTTTTAAAAAGAAAAAATCTAACCACTTTAAAATGTTTTATAAAGGCTTGCAGTGGCTGATTCCTGCCTATTTTTCTACATCATACCATGTTATTTTCTTTCCTCACGCACATCACATTCTTGGTACACTAGTCGCTTTTCAGTTCCTCAAACCCACTCTTTTTCTTGACCTCAAGGCTTGAATTTAATGTTTCTTACCAGTATTCTGCCAGAAGTATTCCTTCTGTACTATTTACTGGAAAACTCCCTATCCTTCAAGGACCGCTGTCCTCTTAAATGTAGTTTCCTCAATAAGACATTCTATGCCCACACTCATGTCTCCCCACCCCTGCCTACTCTGCAACATCCCAGAATCTATGATACTTACATTGCATTATTGTCAGTCATTAATAAATACAAGAGCCACAGGGCACTCAAAATGTGTGATTCTTATTAGAACCCAAAACAACAAAACAACAAGCATTTTAACTATGAAAGTCCAGTACAGATTTTAAATAATTTTGAATAATCAAATTTAATATAATGAGTTATAGTTTCACAAAGACTATATGCTATATTTTATCACCTGAAGTTTCTGTGAGAAATAGACTTTGTTAATATGGCAAAACTCTAAAATTAATGGATTAAAATACACAATTTCTTGGGAGGCCGAGGCAGGTGGACCATGAGGTCAGGAGATCAAGACCATCCTGGCTAACATGGTGTATTTGTATTTTTAGTCTTTACTAAAAATACAAAAAACTAACTGGGCAAGGTGGTGGGTGCCTGTAGTCCCAGCTACTTGGGAGGCTGAGGCAGGAGAATGGCAAGAACCCGGGAGGCGGAGCTTCCAGTGAGCCAAGATCGTGCCACTGCACTCCAGCCTGGGCGACAGAGCGAGACTCATTTCAAAAAAAAAAAAAAAAAAAACAACAAAAACACAATTTCTGTGAAACCCCATCTCTACCCCAGATCCTAAAATTAGCCAGGCATGGTGGCTCATGCATGTAGTCCTAGCTACCTGGGGGGCTAAGGCAGGAGGATTGCTTGAGCCCAGGAGGCGGATATTGCAGTGAGCCGAGATTGCACCATTGCATTCCAACCTGGGTGACAGAGTGAGACCGTCTCAAAAAAAAAAAAAAAGACATAGTTTCGTATTGTTTTTCAAGTTTCTATACTTTTAGTTGAATGCACAGACAAGGAGTGGGTAGATAATGGATTCTTTTCATTTTAATCATAATGTGTCATTCTAGGAATCTCAGAGCTAAATTTAAGGTCAAACATAATACTATATTCACCATTCCTTCAAGAAATATCTGTTCGGCAACTTTCATGTGACAAAGAGAAGCTGGCTAAGTCTCAGAGTCAATTAATCAATTCATATAATAGTCAGATCACTAAATTCAAAATCATTATTGGTAATTATTTTCTAACAGCCCTTTAACTATAAAATTGTCAGTGTACACTTTGCACTGTAATCTTCTAAATTAGAATTAGGCAGATTATTGATATTTGTTCAGCTCTTACTACAATGCCCTTTGTCCATAATTATTCGTTTGCTTTTTATACTTTGTTTTTTAAAATATATTCTTTGTTTCTAATTTATTAAGATAATTTCAAATTTTACTTTCGTTATTCAGGCTGCAAGCAGGTCAGTATCAACCTGAAATAACAAGACACCCTCTTCTTAATCATCTGAGTCATTGGTAAGCACAGTGGTGGTGTGACATCAGTTCTGATTTCTATGGGATGGTTCTTGGAAATGCTTTCCAGATAGATTTAAATAATTGTTGTCAGTTTCATCATATAAACCTTTACTGCTTTCTGCAGCCAACTATCCACACTGTAGTAGAAACAGTGTTTGCAAGCTCCATAAAACTTTAAAGGAGGCCATGGCAGAGGGGATTAAGATGGATTCAGCATTTCCTATGGCTTTTGTATTTATGAAACCATTCATTACTCATAACAATCTTGTCAGAAAGTTACTATTCTTCCCATTTATAGATGAGGAAATTAATGCCTGAAGAGATTAAGGAATTTCTCATGTTGTTTGCCCCTTTAGTTCTTTATACTCTGCCATCTTGCCTCTTCCAGAAAAAGGAGGATGTGTTTTTCAAGATTAGATGTCTGGTACTCTGTTCATTGCAGCAATAACATGCTTTGGGATTACATGTTAATCCCGCCTGCCTCGGCCTTCCAAAGTGCTGGGATTACAGGTGTGAACCACTGCACCAGGCCAGATTTCTTAAAAAGATAAAATGGCTGAGGCAGGCGGATCACAAGGTCAAGAGATCGAGACCATCCTGGCCAACATGGTGAAACTCTGTCTCTACTAAAAATACAAAAAAATGAGCGGATGTGGTGGCGGGTGCCTGCAGTCCCAGCTACTCAGGTGGCTGAGGCAGGAGAATGGCGGGAACCCGGGAGGCGGAGCTTGCAGTGAGCCGAGATCGCGCCACTGCACTCCAGCCTGGGCGACAGAACGAGACTCTGTATCAAAAAAACCAAAACAAAACAAAAAAAACAAAAACAGAAAAAAGATGTCAACCTCTGGACTCTTCATGGGGGGCTCTGGGAAGAATCCACTTCCGGGCCCATTCATATTGTTGACAGAATTAAGTTCCTTGTCGTTGAAATGCTACGGTTCTTTTTTTTCTTGTTGGCTGTCAGCAAAGGCCTGCCCTTAGCTGCAATAGTCTCCTCTCTGGTCCATGCACATGAGTTTCTACATCTCAGCGGCAGCAAGGGGGCATTGAATCCTTCTCATGCCTGAACTTTCCTTTGCCTTCCTCTTCTTATTCCAGCTGGAGAACATTCTCTGCGTTTAAGGACTCATGAAATTGGATTGGGCCCATCTGGATAATTCAGAATACTCTTTGTTATTTAAAGTCCGTAACCTTGATTACATCTGCAAAGTCCCTTTTGCCATGTAATGTAGCATATTCTTAAATTTCAGAGATTAGCCATGGACATCTTTGGGGGACCATTTTGCCTACCACAGACAGGAAAGAAGTGGGGGAAGGAAAAACTTTTCCCAATTTAGAAGTCTATTTGAGAGAGTTCTTCATACTTTTTGTTAGATCAAATTTGCTATAAGAAAAAGATTCCCTCTTTAATAATTGTTTATCTGTTTTGTTGAAAATTATGGGTAAATAAATATACAGAATCTTAGTTTAGGGTTTTTAAAAGCTTCCATTTGTAGTGTAGGCTGATTTTATTTTGAATTTTTGGTTCTAATTCATAACTTTTCAAGTATAATTAAATGTAAGTTTTGAAAAAGTTTTTGCTTGTTCATTTGGAATGCATTTTCTTGATTACTGCTAATTTTTGGTTTATTGTAGCTTTATTTGGATTCCTGTGGTGATTAACATTATGACTAAGTAAAGAGCATTGGAAATTCTAAGTATGATTTCTGAAGATCTCAAAATTGAAGGAGCAGTAATGCGTTACAAATGGAAACTTGTGTTTTGTTTGGAAAATCATTTCTTTCCTTGAGGAATTATGTTTTGTATTGGTTTCAGAGTGGTCTTTGGAGAGGTACTTGAGATTTTAGGAAACATGGCAATTGCATCTTCAAATTAAATGTCACTTAAGCCTTTATGCCATGTTTTCTAAGGTCTTTACATCTGGAATAACTTTACCTCTATTCCAAAGAATCCAAGTAGTTCAAGGTTAAACCGTGTGTCATTGTGATTTCAGGGGTGTCTCAGCTTCATTTCTCCGAAAATGTTCTATTCCATGAGGTTTCCTTCCTACTTCAATAGAAAAATATTGACATAAATTAAAAGTGAGCGCTGAGTTTTTCTTTTGGGAATTGTCTCCTTCTTTTCTTCCTGTATTGACATTAAATTCAACTTTTTTTTTGTCTGGACACAAAATCTGTTATATCAGTTTTCCATCTACATTTTGCCTGAGAAAAAATGTGGAAGACAGCTGTTTTAATGTTGAAATGGATCCAGTTTCTCGTAAGCATGTCCTCAGAGCTTTTGGGCGTTTATTTTTAACTCTGACAGAATTAATTTGGAATAAGACATAAATGACTGTTATTTACCCTATCTAATTTTCTGAAAAACAAATGAACAAACAAACAAACAATGTGTGGGTTACCTATCCCTTTGATTTAGCAGTAGAAATGTACACTCTCCAGTAAATGAGAACAATAGGATCACTGGGTAAAATAATGCATTTACTAAATTCCTGCTGTGGTTATTTGACTTAACTAATATTTTCATCAACTGATTAAGAATTTAAAATAAGTTATTCATCCATTTGAATCAACAACCTGTGTAATTTATCAGGCCTGTACTTGAAAACGTTGTTGCAGTTTAAGTGCCAGATTGTAGTTGGAGGAAAGTGAGTGAAGTGTGAAGAGGAAAATGATGTTACATTAAATTCCACTGAGGGACTGCCACCCTGGGAGACCAGCTTCTGTTCTTGGGTTTCACGGGTACCTGGACATTCTTTATATGGCTGCTCTGAGAAAGAACTAATAGTTATTAAACACTTCTGAGGAGTCTGCCTCCCTTGCACCTCATCCACTCTATGTGGACTGAGTCCCTGAAATGCACCGTGTGTGCGTGTGATCGTGTGTGCACATGCCTGTGTTGGGATGAGGGTAGGAGAAAATTGTTCGTTCTCTGTTCCACTCTTCACTTTGAGAAAAGATGAGAAAGGAGTCTGGGTTCCAATGTAGGCCAGAACTGGATTTGAATCACAGCTCCATCCCTTGTTAATACCTGTGTGACCTTGGATGAATCTCAGTTTCCATGTAACAGAGACAATAATGCCGAGGATTGGAGATAATTTATGTAAAGCACCCTGCACATTTTGAGTCCCATTGTGAACAGTTAATAAATAGCAGTTACTGTCACTATACAAACCCTGATGTCACTATATTTAGTTAGTGTTATTCCATCTATGAAAAACATATGAATAGAAACAAAGTAGTTATTTTTCATGATTGTTTAAAAAAATCTGTTCAGAGCCCCGGCTTCATGAGCACAGTAGGCTCTGATGTGTAGGTGCTGCCAGAAGGAACTTTCAGAGCTCAGCTCTATCTTTGTAGTTTATTAATCTGCTACCATGGAAACAGGTATTTCATCCTTATAAAACAAGAAAACAGCTTTAAACAAAGCACTGTTTCAAACAATGTGTTGGTGGTGGGCAGCGTTTCTTTCTTTTTTAAAAAAAATATAATTTCTAAGTGACTAACCTCATTTTTGGCAATCTGATTTGAGTTTCCATGGAAACAGAAGTGACAGCTGAGGCCTCCAAACTCTTGTAACTGGTGGGGCTCAGGTTAAGTCTTGCAAATGTCAGTTGTCCCAAGGCACCTGAAGGAGCCAACAGAAATAAGAGTCAGACAATATCCAGGGAAAAAGAAGGAATAATAAATCAAACATTTACAAAATTCACAATACTGTGGGTTTGTGAAAAAACATGTGTAATGGATAAGCAGAGAGAGACCCACGGATGTAATTCACAGTTAGGGGTTATGTGGCCTGGCCTCATATTAAACACCTTTTTCTGAGTGGCTAACTTACCTAGTTCCTATATATTTTTGTTACACTTAGTATAAGAACATAGGGAAAGGGTGAAAGCTTAGAGGATTAATATCACATAATGGACCTATTATTTATTAGCATGAGATCTAAATGTAAAAGAAAACAAATGAAAATGTATAAAAGCCAATCTTACGAAGATAGATGTGTTCAAATGGCATAGGCCCAAATATTTATTTGTGGGCTCCCACTGTTGGTCTTTGTAGAGATTTTTCTAATTCCTAATATTTAACAATGATATTATGTACATCCTAGGATTGTTGGTATAAAAGTGGTTTTAGTTGTTTTTAGAAAGACTTTCCAGTAATTCTGCATCACATCAGAGGGAGAAAAATCAGAATATCACTGCAGTTTCTAACATGGGTTCTAAAACAAGAGGCCTTTTCTTTTTCCCCAGCTGAAGTATATTGTGAGTAGGTACATGTTTATTTGTCAGCTACATCCCCATGAGAAGAGCTGTACCTCTCAATTGTTTTGTGATTGGTGAAATCATCCAGTCTAGGCCACTCTGACCAGCAGATCTTTGACAAAAAGTTTTACTTGGGTCCTGTAGGTGTTTACAGAATTTTCTTTATAAATATCTAAAGGGCTTTCCATAAATGAAGATTTTATAAAGAAAGCAAAAAAGTTTAATTGAGAACTGAGTTTGCTTTGGGCACGAACAATATACAGTTTCTCAACATTTAAGCGTATATTGAGAAATGATACCCAGTTAAAAAAATAACTTCATTTTTATCCCATGAAAAATTATTTTATTATAGGAACATTTCATTAATTATTTTCCTGATTATGAAAATATTGTGTCTCTTTAAAAAAATTTTATAAGCTAAGCAAATGAAAAATAAGTCACCCACAATTTATCTATCTTGTTAGTATTTTCAGATAAAGCATGCACTATAAAATACCCTTATGTATGTTCTTTTCTTTTTTTCTTTTTCTTTTTTTTGAGATGGAGTCTCCCTTACTCTGTCACCCAGACTGGAGCTCAGTGGCAGGATCTCAGCTCACTGCAGCCTCTGCCTCCCGGGTTCATGTGACTCTCCTGCCTCCTCAGCCTTCTGAGTACCTGGGATTATAGCTGTGAACCACCACCTCCCCCACCCCCTAGCTAATTTTTGTATTTTTAGTAGAGATGGGGTTTCACCATGTTGGCCAGGCTGGTCTCAAACTCCTGACCTTAAGTAATCTGCTCGTCTTGGCCTCCCA